TTGATCAAACAGAAGGAGATGCTAGTGCACTTGATCAGATAGAAGGTGATGATGATACTCTTGATGGAGAAAAGCCTTGATTCATGGATCTCAATTCTCAAGTTTAGGTGACGAACCTAAGTTTAAATGACAGTTTTTTTGCACATAGGAGCAACAATATATCTTGAACCTAGCTCTTAATGCCTACCGAGAGGTTGATGCAATCTTTCTGTAAGACTGTTAGCTTCTGTGTTTGTATCATTTGTTAGCTTCATACATATAATATTGGACTCCATAGATTTCTGTCACCATAATCACTGTCCATATGGATCAGGGTCCAAATTCACCATTCTTTCCCGTTGTTTAAACTTCAAATCATGAGCAAATGGATATTCAAAATTTTCTGAAACATTTGGCATTTGATACCATCCCCTTTTGCCAAAGGTATCTATATGTTGAGGTTAACACTAGGGTATCATATTGCCCTAATCTGTCAACATTGTCCTTTAAATTCTTGAATATTTATTTTTAACAGTTGGAGAGGAAAATCAGGTGCCCTAATGCAGTTCTCTGATTTTGTTGAGTGTAGTCTCTTCTGCTTTTTGTTGCGAAGTTACTACTTTTTCAGTTGCAGCCCACTTCAAATGCAGTTGTTTTGAAATCTTGGCTCCATCCGCTCTTGCATTTTTTTGGTTGATAATCCTCTGTTACATAAACTTTAGCCCCTTTTTGTCAATGGTTATGGTGCAAAACAGAAGCTCCCAGGTGTAAAGTTTGCTTCTGGCTTGGGTGTGTTGCTTGCTACAATATTTCTAAGCATAAGATTTTGGAGTTGCTTGCTTGCTGGTTTTTGTCTTCTCATTCATGTGCTCAGCGTTATTGAACATAGTTTACTTGTAGAAGATTGAAATGGAAATCCTCACTCATTAAGTTTATTCAAGCGGTTAAAAATTGATTTAAAGTTTGAAGCAAGTTGAAAATACAAATCTTGTCACCATCATGTTTCCTTTTTCTTCTTTGCCCAGGTGTTGTTATAGCCCTAAAAAAGGAAGGATTACTGAGAAAACAGAAAAAGGAGAGATAATTAGGGATGCGACATCTTCCAGAAACATCAGAAGTTTGAAATCTATGATTGAGAACTGCGAGCTGCACGACAAACAATTGGTCCTGATTGGCCCGAGTGCTGCATTTCTTTGAAAAATTAAAAATAATTTGATAAATAACACTTACGCCAATCAAAGTCTGAATGTGTACTCGACACGTTACGTGATGCACTTAGTAGTGCTCATCTATTATTATGATTATGGCTTTTCACCGCGTTTTTTACCCAAGAAAATGTCGCATGAGTAATTCAGTAAGTTACATCAATAAAACAAAAGTTCTTCATTTAGCTTCAGTTCAAAAAAAAAAAAAAAAAAAAAAAAAAAAAAAAATTCGGATTTTGGTTTGTGAAATTTTAAATTTAAAAATTTGATTATTAAACTCAATTTATGTACATGTAAATTATGTCAAAATAAGCATTAAGA